ATAGTTAATTTAATAATATTTTAGTTTAGTTTAATTGAAAATTCAAATATTGTTTAATTTAGTTTAAAACATTGGAAACGAAAATGGATATATCCGATATCCGACCAATATCCGACAGATACAGATACAAAATTTTGATTTTCAATATCCGTCAAGATCCATATCCGAATTCGATATCCGACAAAAAATAAGCGAATACGGACTTGGTAATGGCACATCCAATCCGATTAATATCCATACCCTACTAGTGTTGTACTACTTACGTCCCATTTTAAATTACTTGTTTGCCTTTTTCTCCATCCCAAAATAAGTCAATTTTCTCAACATTATATTGTCATTCATCATCATCCCTCCTAAAAAGTATTGACAATTTCGAAAAATCAGCTCCATTTTTAATTTTCCTTAAATATACCCAAAAGTCAAAATAGTCGATTTAAAACGGGACGGAGGGAGTAGGTGATAAGTTGAGAGGAATTCACTAAATGGTTTGACTAGGGGTGAACACGGTACGGTTCCGGGACGGTTCCGGTACCGCCACTCCATGTCACCGGAACCGTCACCGTGCCGGCCGGTACCGGTACCGGTTCCGGTTCCCAGACCAGCGGTTCCGGTACCGAACCGGCCTAATTTTCCATCAATGATGAAAAGTAATGGGGATAGGGGGTCCCTTGCTTGACCCCTCTTTTCAAATTGAAAAACCCTTTAGGACTACCAAGCAGAAGGTTTTGAGAATGTTCTGAAAACTCAAGAATTTTTTCTACACAACAGCAGACTGCCTAATAAATAGTCGGGAGAAGCCAAGTTGTGGTTCTAGTAGGCATTTCTCCCGTCAATATTTGGAACATAGTTGTTCTCGTTAGGCCCTGAAGTGAAAGTCTGGTTCTGGTTAGGAGCTGGAGCATAGTTTTGGTTTGGCCCAGGAGGATACATGTTATGCCCAGGACCGGGAGGGGGCGAGTAGCTTTGCACAGGAGGTGCATAGCTATGCCCAGAAGAAGAGGGTGCATAGCTCTGCCCAGGAGAAGGAGGTGCATAACTCTGCCTAGGAGGATAGTTCTGCCCAGGGCCGGGGGGGTAATTCTGCATGTGACCTGGTGTGGAGTAGCCTTGGCCAGGGACAGGAGGGAAGTTTTGGCCATGTGAAGAGGGAGAGTGATTATTCTGGCTGGGGGCGGGAGGGGAGTAGTTATTTTGGGTAGGGCCAGAAGGGGAGTAGTTATTTTGGGTAGGGCCAGAAGGGGAGTAGTTATTCTGAGGAGGACCAGGAGGGGAGTTTTTTTGGGTTGGGGGCCATGGGGCATTACTGTTCTGGTTTGGCATGGGAGCATTGTTGCTTTGGTTTGGACCAGAGGGGCTGCCATGTTGTGTTGGCCCAGCAGAAGGTCGATAGTTCTGCCCAGGACCAGGATTCTGAGCATTTGGATTAGCCACTTGCCTTCTGTCAAAGTTCCTTGATCTGTCAAAGTTACGAGGCCTGTCACTGCGCTTGTTCCTTTCGTTGGCCTGTGCATTGTTCCTTACCCACTCCTCATGATATTTGGGATCATATGGCACTGCCTGCCCATCAATAAAAGGCTCCCCTACAAGAAAAGTTAAAAGGTTAAGTATCCTAAAGAAAATATGGCCTCCGTCAGCAAAAAAAATCACTGTTTGACTTTACAAATTGATGGTTTTAAAAAGTGAATAGTGTGTGAATGGAATCTGTTTGGAAGAAGAACTGTTGTAAATCGCAACACTATGGTTACATAAATTAGGAAGGAAAGGAAATGAAAATGATTTCTCCTTTTCCTCACCAAAATAGAAGCAATCATGTCTTCCCTGTTCTTAGCTTATTCTTGCTTATCATTTTCTTTTCTTTCCAGTTTTTGTTTTGTTTCCTCTCTAGCCAAACATAAAACGCTACTTTCCATATCATTTCCTTTTCTTTTACTTCTCAAATTCCTTGAACCAAACAGTGTTAAGGAACTAAGAGAAGTGTGAAGTATATTATTTTGGAACACACAAAAAACAAAGCGTGAAATCAATTCGAGGAATCAAAAGTAATAGTCCAGTAAGGCCCATTCATGTGGAAAAATAACAAATGTTACCATATTAGAATAACCATCTTTGTCCATAAACAAAATACTTCAGCTCCCCATCACCCCAATAAAATACTTGTAGCTCCTAAGAATAAAAAAGAACTAGATGCATTATATAATACCAAATACCATTCACAATCTGCTCTAAACAAATAGAAATGTTTCACGATTCATTGGGAGAAACTGAAACCAAGCATGGGTCCCCAATTGTTGCTTTAATCAGCATAATTATAGTTGCTGTTATTGTTATTTTTAATTCACCACAAATTAAAGAAGGGCACCTCTATATATTCTGCGAGTCATTGTTCAAAACAAACTTAAATTTGAAAGGTTTTTCTGAAAGAAGAAGAGATCACATCATTTCTGTATTGAGTACACACACATGAGTCTACTTGGCTGTCAGCAACACACAAATGCAAACAGGTTGCCGCAATATGAATTATATTACAAATACATGGGTTTTCCGTATTGCAAAAGCATGGACAGTCATACCTCCATAATCCTTATTTCTAACATCCAAGTAGGAATCTGGAAGCACCCATCTGACTTTATCTAACTCTGCAAAAATAAAATACTAATTAAGTAAAACTGAATGCAAGGTAAGATGCATGAGAGCCGCAAATGCATTATACAAAGTAGCACATAAAACATTACCTTTTATTTTGTATGAGACTTCTTCTGACACAAGAGCCCCAAATGCATAATAGTGTCTTGTTGAAACAGAATAGATCTTCATCCTCGCCTCTTCCTCACTACAAGATTTTATGATAATAATATAATTAGAAGTTAGAACAACGCTACATAAACATCTTTGGCACCACATGTCTTAAGCCCACTTTCCTCGGCACAAGATGACTCACATGTCTTCACCCCACCTTCATTCACACAAGAAGTGCACTTCTTTGTGACTATGACAGTGAGCACACACAAAATAGTGGTTGCATTTAAAGGGTAGGCAATTTTGTGTTAATATGGCATTTTTCATATAACAATAATATAAAATGCAAATGAATCAATGCCAACCAGAAAATATAAGAACTAGATGGTGAATCAAGTAGTATATTAATTCAAAGAAAGCAACAACAATACATCAACACATTTCTGATTAATAATTATTTAATATCCAAAAATCGAAGTTGACTAACAAAATACACAGTATCATACTATGACATGAACAATAAAACTCTAAATAAGAGGAAAATGAGAAAGAAGACAGACCTCCCAACGACCTGAGCTAGAACTTTGATATAGCTGTCAATTATCTCATCCCTTGTTGGATCGCCCTCGGGCTTCTCCAACACAACAAGCCAATGCTCGAAATCGCATCCATCGAGCAAAAATGTCTCTTTTGGGGGGCGGTTTGAAAAGTTAGGGTTGGTATCGTTGAGGGATGAATAGGTCTGACGAGTCGCGAACCCTCGCAGCGCCGCAGCACCGGGATAAAGGTGTCCGATGCCGGGGGTCATTGTGACCAGTGGTCGGAGGCGGAGGAGGGAGGATGAAGAGAAGAAATGGCGGCACGGAGGAAGAGAAGAGAAGGATCGAGTAAACGCTGTACCGATGGCCTGCAGCTTTCGGGCTGTGCACAGAGATCGAGTGAGAACACCAGGCCCCATATCTGCTAATAGGGTTTATGTGACGCTGATAAGAAGAGTAGTGTAGGTTTATAAAAAAAACAAAAAAGAAAAATGATACGCATACATCAAAGGTGTACCCCATTTGTCCCCCACCCCCTCCTCCACCACATAAATGGGCAAGTATTTTAAAAAAAATTACTACCTCCGTCCAAAGTATTTGTCCACTTTCATTTTTACACATTATCAAATGCACTTCTTTAATCCATTTTATCTTGTAATTTGTATATTAAAAAATTGGACCATGCTACACTTACACCAAAAAATATATCTCATTTGTACACCACAGGCTTGCACAAACATTTCAATGGTTTACACCGACACAAGTGTTGGTGCGTTAATAAATATTCACACGGATACAAATGTTGGTGCGTTTAACAAAAATTAGTTTTACACCAACACAAAGTGTTGGTGTAAAACTGCGGGGTACAAATTGGGATACAAACTTTGGGGTACACATAGCATAATCCTAAAAAATTATAGAAATTATATACTCCCTCCGTCTCTCTGTATTTGTCCACATTTAACTTTTGGAACTGTTCATCTAAGCACTTTGACTCATCAAATTCTCTCAATGTGTAAGCCTAAATATAGTCATGTGTGATCTTGTTTGATTTGTTTTAACATATAGATTATTAATATATAATTTCTATAATTTTTTAATATACAAATTATAAGATAAAATGGATTAAAGAAGTGCATTGGATGGTGTGTAAAAATGAAAGTGGACAAATACAGGGGGACGGAGGAAGTATTAATAATCTATATATTAAGACAAATCAAACAAGATCACACATGACTATATTTAGGCTTACACATTAAGAGAATTTGATGAGTCAAAGTGCTTAGATGAACAGTTCCAAAAGTCAAAACTAGACGAATACTCCGGGATGGAGGGAGTAAATAAATAAAAAGATGATAAAAATGAGTGGTGGATAAGGAGGTGGGGGACAAATGGGATACACCTTTAGTGTACCTCTAGCAATGATCAAACAAAAATGTTTGCTTATGTCATCCATTTAAGCAAATTCTAGGTTCATTAAATAGACTTAGTGCATTTATAGTATGAAAGAAGTGAGACTTTTTTAAAAAAAGAAAAATCTACTTGTAATCACATGAAAAATATAAGAAGGCCTACATTTTAAATGTGGACATTGGGTGATGGGTGTATTCCACCCACGACCGGTCAAAGGAGAAGACCAATTAGTTGACCGGTCAATCTCGAAAGTTTTGGAAGGGAGACTTAAATCGTCAGCAAAACGATATATAATCGGCCAAAAGATGACCGGTATACTTCACGAAAAAGTATACCGGTCAAACTACGTTGTCATCCTATTTATTCCCAGACTTCGATGAATTCATCCCTCGGAGATTACCCGGTGTATTTCTAGGGTTGGAAAGTGTCAACAGAAGAGAATCTAAGAGGGCTTGGCATGTAGCGACCCATGTCAGTAGAGGACAACTGGAGATGCCGAAGAATCCATCCAAGGCACTACTCGACAAAGGGAATAAGGTAAAAACACGCAGATTGACCGGTAGGACTTTAGGTGGAACACCTGTAGCCTAATTTATATTATAACGGAGATTGCACGTGTGCTTTTACAAAGGGGGTAGAGAGAATGAATTCTGATCCCTCTTTCTGAGGTTTACATGAGTATTTCTACTAGGCTATGAGGAACAAGACCACGTGCGCCCACATGGGGGCACGCTGCTGATGTGGTTCGAGGTGACTGGTTTCGTCCTCGAGCTGCCAAATCAAGCAAACTATTCTAGACCCGGTCTAGTATAGTTTGACCGGTCAAGTAATTTACACCATCATTTTTGGCGCCACCCGTGGGACCGTTAAGGTTTCTTCTCCTAAACACAAACCTATTTCCATCATCTCCGATGGAGCCAAAATTTCACCATTTTTTGGCTTTGGGGTGTGATGGAATAAATCAAAATGGATCTCTAAACTGTCTGTGCTTCTTTAATTAATGAAGTAGCAGTTAGTCAAGCAATGCGACTTTCAACGTTGAGCCGGGGGTCTCTTTGGAAACAGCCTCTCTACTTTCGAGTAGGGGTAAGGTCTGCGTACACACACCCTCCCCAGACCCTACTCTTGTGGGATTTAACTGGGTTTTTGTTGTTGTTGTTGCTCCTAAACACAAACCTACCCACAAAAACACCACTCAAAATGTCTTCTAGTCAACAAATCAACGCTACTTCCACTCAGGTGCAGGCCACCAATGAGGGTACCAGCATCCCTGTAGTTGCTACCTTACCGGTCATTTCAGCCCCGGTGTTGCCTTTGGGCCTGAGCTCTGTCCCAACGGCTAGCGTGATCAGTCCCTTCGCGACCCCCGTCCCTTTCGCTGGACCGAGGGTCACGTTCCCACCAAGCATGACTCAGTTCATGAATGACCCAGCCAACCTACAAGCCATCCAGGGCTTTGGCCAGGTCATGGCCATGTGCCAACAGAATGGGGGGATGCCTTTTCTCCCTGGTATGTTCCCGTTCGCTCTTCCATGCGCGGGAACCATGCCCCTACAAGCTCCAATGGTAGTGACGCCATTCCAGACACCGATGCCGCAGCCATCACCTTTCCAGCCCCAGCTGGTCAGCACCATGGCCCCTGTCAACTTGACTGGCGCACTTAACGCTGCAGGGCCGTCGCGTCCCCCGCAAGGTACGAATCCACAAGTCACCCCTGATGGTCATTGCGTCTCAATTGAGAGTGATGACGGCGAGTGGGACATTCCGAGGGCCCACAAGAAGAAGAAAGGAAAAAACATCCGGCCAGCGACCTCCCGAAACTCCGCCTTCGAAAGGCTAGGGGATAGGGAGGAAGGGCAGAGGAAGTCAGCCAAGCAAAGGCTGGGGCAGAGCGTCGCCCATGTCAGCGCGTTCGCCCGGTTAGGCGAGGTGCAGAGCGTTCGCCCGGTTAGGCTGGGGCAGAGCGTCGCCCATGTAACCAGTGCTCCCGGTCTAACCAGCAGGAGCCATCGAGGACGAGGGCCTCACGTCAGGAAGAGGAAGTAGAGAGCCAGCCCAGGTTACCGGTGGCGAACCGGTTAACCGTCCCAAATGACCGCGTCCAGCAGATGGAGGCAAAACTGGAGAGGCTGGAAAAGAAAGTCGGGGAGAAGAATGACTGGGACAAACCCTTGGCGGGGTCCCCGTTCACCATGAGGGTCCATCTAACACCTTTCCCGCGAAAGGTCAAGATCGACGCCCCTAGATTCACCGGGAAGGAAGATCCGGAAATCCACCTTGACTCCTTCAACCAGAGTGCGACCATGAACGGTTGCACCGATGAAGAAAAGTGCCTTCTTTTCTTCCAGACCTTGCGGAATCGAGCCACTGAATGGTTCAATAAGCTTCGCCCGGGAAGCGTTGATTCGTTCAGTGATTTGGCCTCAAAGTTCAAGGCCAAGTTCCAGGAGAATTGTACTAAGAGGAAGAAATTCACCTATCTTAGTACAGCCGGGCAGAGGGAGTCTGAGAACCTTACTCAGTTCCTTACCCGGTGGAAGGAAGAGGTAGACAAGGTAGAAGAGATGGATGACAAGACCGTCTTATCCCTCCTCTTGAATGGCTTGCGTGCCGGGGAACTATACAAGGAGTTCTGCCGGAAACCCCCGGCCACGTACCAAGAGGCCTACCACACTGCATAGGAGTTTGCTGAGGCTGAAACCCAACTCCGGGCAAAGAAAGAAGCTGAGCATGGTTACAAGCCCAAGCCGGTGCAAGTCAAGAAGGAAGAAGCACCGGGACCTAGCCGGCCAAGACACCACTATGAACCGGTCGTCCGTATGGTCAATACGGAAGAATGCCAAGAAATCCGAAAAGCACCGGTCATTCCTCCAGAAAATGCTACCGGTCAAACAGGGCGGCAGTGGTCGGGCACCTATTGTTCGTACCACAGGTCGGATTCCCATAACACCTCCGAATGCAAAAGTGTTAAGGGGGTCATCTGGCAGATGATAGACAGTGGAGAGCTCGGCAAGGATTACTTGCAGAAAGCCCAGGAGAAGAGTCATCAATGGGTTAGGCCAACTGCCCTAGGAGATGACCGGGACAGCGACCGGCGGAGGAATAACCGGCCAAGGGAGCGGCAACCTGCTCCCGAGAAAGAGCACATTCGCATGATCTTCGGCGGACCTGAGGGTGGAGATTCGGCCGCGCACCGAAAGAACTGGGTCCGGAGCATTTACGTTGGTGAGGTAAGTGCTGAACCGCCCAGGCGTAAGCATACTTGAAGGGAGCCGATCGTCTTTACCGATCGGGATCTCCCTCCTACCGGTGAAGATCACAATGATCCATTGGTCATCACCATGGACATTAATGGGGTGGATGTCGCCCGGGTACTTGTTGACACCGGCAGCAGTGTCAACATCTTATACCTGGAGACTTTCCAAAAACTCAGGTTGTGTCGGACACAACTTGAACCCCTCAAAACCCCTCTCTCAAGCTTCACGGGAGACACTGTTGAAGCTGAAGGATCCTTCTACCGGTCGAACTAGGATCAGGTGAAAAGACCGTGTGGAAGAAGATTAGGTTCATAGTTGTGGACATCAAGTGCGTCCACAACGCAATTCTTGGAAGGCCCGGCATCAATAGAGTCGGGGGGTGATTTCCATGCCTCACCTGTGCATGAAGTTCCACACTCCAGGCGGTGTGGGTGAAATGAAAGGTGACCAAAGGAATGCCCGGGAATGCTATGCCCAGGCAGTCAAGAAGATGACTAAGGGGGTCAATGTCATCTCCCAAGAGATCACAAAGGGAGAGACCCGGGAGAAATTGGAGCCCGAGGTCGAGACGGTGGAAATCGAACTTCACCCAGGTGATTCTTCGAGGATGGTCAGAATTGGAGCAAATCTCCCCGAAGATCTCAAGGCAGAGATTACACGGGTCCTCCAAGAATACGCGGGCATATTCGCATGGAGCGTGGCGGATATGCCCGGAATAGATCGCTCTATTATCTGCCACCGGTTGGCCGTGAGGGAAGGAAGTCGACCGGTACGTCAGAAGAAGCGGTACCTGGCCAGTGACCGGCGAGACTTCGTCAAGAAGGAAGTGAAGGACCTCCTCAGTGTTGGTCATATACGGGAAGTCAAGTACCCGGATTGGCTGGCCAACGTTGTCCTTGCTCCCAAGGGCGACACATGGAGAATGTGCGTGGATTATACGGACTTGAACAAAGCTTGTCCGATGGATTCGTACCCCCTTCCCAGTCCAGATCAAATGGTGGACGAAACTGCGGGGTGCGAACTCCTAAGTTTCATGGATGCCTTCAAGAGTTACCACCAAATTTACATGGCCACGGAAGATGAAGAGAAGACGTCATTCCTCACACCTGAAGGAACCTACTACTACCGGGTAATAGCGTTTGGCTTGAAGAACTCAGGAGCAACCTACCAGCGCATGGTGAACAAACTCTTCAAGCCACTGCTGGGAAAGACCATGGAGGCATACGTCGACGACATGCTGATCAAAAGCCAGGTATCTCTCAACCACCCGGCTGATATGCGAGCCACGTTCGATATCATGGCAAAATACAACCTCTGGCTGAATCCTAAGAAATGCGTCTTCGCGGTTCGTACCGGGAAGTTCTTGGGATTCATGGTGACCAAGAGAGGAATAGAGCCCAACCCAGAAAAAATCTGGGCCATCACTGAAATGCAAGCCCCTACCTCCGTTAGGGATGTTCAAAAGTTGACCGGTCGTCTAGCGGCCCTCAGCCAGTTCCTTTCCCGGTCAGCTGAAAGATCCCTGCCCTTTTTCAAAGTTCTGAAGAAGGCCAACACATTTGCATGGGACGAAGAATGCCAGAGGGCATTTGAGGAGCTGAAAGAGTACCTAGCGTCGGAAATTGTATTGTCTAAACCCAAACCGGGTGAAACTCTATATCTGTACCTGGGAATTTCCCCAAATGCTGTAAGCTCCGTTTTAATAAGAGATGATGGGGCGCAAAAGCCCATTTATTATGTGAGCAAAGCACTAAACGGGGTTGAGAGTAGATATACGGCGATGGAAAAGACAGCCTATGCGCTTTTCATCTCCACAAAAAAGTTAACATCCTACTTCCAAGCTCACCCGGTGGAAGTCTTGACTGACCAACCGCTAGGTGCAGTGTTGCGAAATTCAACATCCTCCGGGAGGATGGTGAAGTGGGCGATGATGTTAACTCAATTCAACATTGAGTACCGGCCAAGGTCAGCAATCAAGGGACAAGCTCTTGCTGACTTCCTGGTAGAAATGACCGGTCTAACTCCAGACCTACCGGTCAACAAGCCCACTGAGCAATGGTGGGAGATGGCAGTTGATGGGGCGTCCGGTCCTAGAGGATACGGGGGTGGTATCGTGTTCACCACCCCAGAAGGGTTCAAGATCTACCATGCAATCGTCTTCAACTTCAAGCTGACGAACAATGAGGCAGAGTATGAAGCTCTGGCTGGAGGGCTCAAACTTGCCCAAGCCCTGAAAATCAGCCGGGTCAGTATCAAATCTAACTCTAGCCTGATTGTTGGGCAAGTGACCGGTAGCATGGAAGCAAGGGAAGGACGCATGGCACAATACAAGGAGCTCGTGCTCGCCTTGTTGAAAGGCTTCGAGGAATTCAAGATCGCCCAAATTCCCCGGGCGGAAAATGCGGATGCAGACCTTCTCTCCAAATTGACGCAGTATGCTCCCGAGCATGTTTCAAAACTTGCCCGGGTAGAGATTCTTGACCGTGCAAGCATCGAAAAATTGGAAGTCGCCGCCATAACAGCAGCAAGTCAATTTGACCGGTCAAACCTGGTTGGGGCGGACGACCATTGGATGTATGATCTGATGGAATATTTGATGGATGGGAGCTTGCTAGAACAAGATGACCGGGCAAGAAAAGTGAAGCTCAGGGCACCCCGATTCCAGGTTCTTGATGGAAAGCTGTATAAAAGGGCATTTGGGGGGCCACTCTTGAGATGTCTAACTAACCGGGAGGCCGAGCGAGTCATAGCGGAGGTCCACGAAGGCGTATGCGCGGCGCACCAAATGTCCCGTACGTTTTCCCAGCGCATCATCTTATTGGGGTATTATTGGCCAACAATTGTCCAGGATTGTGAAAGGTATGTTCAGAAATGCAGAACATGCCAAGTGTTCTATAAGTATCCCGGTAGACCGGCAACCTACTATCACCCCGTGTCGAATGTCATCCCATTCGCTAGATTCGGGGTTGATATCATTGGAGCCTTCTCAATCGCCCAAGGAGGGAATAAGTTCGTAATCGTAGCCATCGATTACTTCACCAAATGGATCGAGGCCGAAGCATTGGCCAACATCACCACGCAACAATGTAAGAAATTCATTTGGAAGAACATCATCACGAGGTTTGGAGCGCCCATGAACCTCATCACCGACAACGGCCCACAATTCTGAAATCCGAGGTTCACCGAATACTTGGAGGGCTTCAGAATCAAGCACAATCGCTCCTCGGTAGCATACCCCCAAGGGAATGGCCAAGTCGAAAACGCCAACCGAACGATTGTGGATGGTCTAAAGAAACGGCTGGGAGAAGCAGGAGGGCTCATGGGGAAACTCCATTCTCCCTAACCTATGGGTGTGAAGCAAGGCTGCCCATCGAAGCTGAATTCCCAACGCTCCGGGAATCAAATTATCAACCCCAACAAAATGAAAAAGACCACTTGGCCGAGCTCAACTTGGTCGAAGAACGAAGAATGGCCGCGGAGGTTAAAATGAGTACATACCAACAAGTTGTGAAGAAGTACCATGACAACAAGGTTGGGCCGCGGTACTTCCAAGTTGGAGATGAAGTCCTACGAAGAAGAGAAGCAAGTAGACCCGGCGATGGAGGAAAGCTGGCAAAAATTTGGGAAGGCCCATACAGGGTTAAGCCATCATTCGACCAGGAACATACCGGTTAGAAACTTTAGATGGTGTACCGATAGAAAGAACTTGGAATTCCCACCATCTTCGCAAGTTCTACAAATGATTGTAATACTAGGCGAGGCCTAACTACATTATCAATCAAAGTGGTGTTCAATACTCTACTTGGTAGCGACAGAATTGATAGGTCGAACCTATCCTAGGAGGGCTTCCTGGGTGGATCGAATCCACTTGGATAAGCCAACTGAGACACACGCCTGGACCTGGCACGCTGGTTACTACACCGATCTTGCTCAGTATAATAGAAAAAATATTAAAACCCGGAAGAGGGGCCCGGAAGAGAGTATGCCTGCAAGAGGGCTAGACCTGGAAGAAGGTTCGAACCGTACTTACACGGGCCCAAGAGGTTTGACCGGTATCGGGGAATCAGCCGGTACCGTCAAATTGATTGGGGACTAAAAGATGCCCATTAAAAGAAATAGAAGGGGATCGTCCACCGTGGCGCATCCTGTTTCCCCCTTCTCAGGGAAGACTTGAACGGGGGGTGAGCTAAGGCTTTCCCGGGATAGTAGAAATCAAAGGGCCATTAAAAGACTTAATCACCCGGAAGAGTGGGCCCTGGAAGAAGGGTGCATTTGAACCTTGGAGAGGGTTCGAAACCATTCGACATGGTTAAATCTCCAGTATTCTTACCGGTTAAGGATACTTCAAAAATTACTAGGTTACAGGTGTTTCCATCTACAACCTACCGGTCACAAAAAAAATACCCCGGTCGGGTATGGGCACAACAGAACTTCGAAAGTTCTACATCCATCGAAAGGCAAGGCAGTTGACCGGTCAAACCATGGAGTGGGAATTCACCGGTCAAATTAAACTTTGTCAAAGAACTCGTGAAGCCATCCAAAAAGCCGAAGTAAAGTTCAGCTGGTTCACTCTAGTTCAACCGGGTTGGACTTAGCGTATTCAAAAACAAGCCAAGAAAGGGAAAATTGAAGTTTGACCGGTCCAAGTTACTCGGGCTGATCTTGGAGATAATGTGATCAGAGAGAACTTTGAAGTCCTACCGGGCGGAAACATTTGAGAAGTGGTCTGATTTATTTACCGGTCAGAATTTATAAGAAGCAAGAGCAAAGTATAAATCAACAAGCAAGCAGATATGGAAGATTAACCGGTAAGGAAATTAAACATGGCATTCAAACGGAACGAGCATGTTAAATGTTTACAGATACACCGGGCATACCCGGGGAAATTGATAAGGTTTCAAGTTTTACAAAAATAACCGGGCACAGCCGGGGAGATCCTAATCTAGGGGGAAAGGGGGAGTTGGCTTTTCCTCCGGGATGGGAGCCAGGCCGTAGGAAGCCGCGGTGAAGGCCGGGTCTCTCTTCAGGAGGATCCGGTGGGAGGCTGCACGGTATTTCTTTTGGCCGCTTTTGAATCCGAAGGACCCAATCGCGGTTATCATCTTCTTTCCTTCAGGCTCCCGGTACAGAAGCCTGAAGGATTCCATGGTCGCTTCTGGGCTCGCCGTCATCACCCGGGCAGCTTCGACCTTGTTTTCCTCAACCCAAGCAGCTGCGCGCCAGGGAAGTTTTCTTCCTTCTCCGCCATCTCCCTTTTTGTCTTGGAGACCTCGTCCAGCAGTTGGCCGTTCTCCTCCTTCAGCCGGGTGTTCTCTGCCCCCAAGGATCCGACCATCTTGGACAACTTGGCCAGCTCATCCGTTTAACTCTTGAGGAGGAGGGCAAGCTCTTCGTTCTTCTTCTTCAGCCTGGCCACCTCGGTTGGAGAGTCCATTCCCAACCGGTCGGCGGTGATGGGCCCAATCTCCCCAACCTGCACAACGTACAAACAACCCGGTTAATCTTCGTGTAATGTAAGGGAAAGGTTAACCGGTGACGAGAGATGACTTACCTCCCTCATCCGCAGACCAAGGATAATGTAGGCCTCCTCCACAGTCTGGTAGGCCGCGCCGGAGTCTGTCCTCTGCCTCTTGTTCATGGCAGAGGGATGGTTGGTGGCCACCTTCTTGGTCCGGCGACCGGTCTTCTCGTTTTCCTTCCCCTTAGACAGGTTGTCTTGGGGTTCGTCCTCATCCAAAATCTCCACGGTCTCTTGGTGGACCGGGAAGGTTCTGGCAGGGTTGGCTTGGGAGCCCCCGGTGTCTCCCGCTGGTTGGTCGTCGGGGATGGCGAACTCTTCGAACTCCATATCTGCAAAAGAAACTAAAACCGTTAAGTACAAGTAGTTTGACCGGTCAACTACGAATCACAAGAAAAATGAGAAATACCTGGGTGGTTTTGGCCCTCAGCCTCTGCAGTGTTACCCGGGGAGGGTACCCCGCGCCCCGCTGCTTCATGGGCTTGGGAGGTACCCTCACCACCCGATTCAACCCGCCAAACCCAGCTCCCATAGTGGAAGACCCTCCCGGTGTATGGATCGCCGCGCATAAGGATTTCAAGACTTGCTACCAAGTCAGGAGAGGAAGCCGGTGCAGCGTGCTCTTGATCGAGAAGATGGTCATTCCATTTTAGACCGGCAAAAGGAGTGACGAAGGGGGGAAACTCAATGAAAACAAACTTTTCCTTCCATCCCCGGTTACTCTGGGGGACTTCGGAAATGAACTTCCTACTGGTACGGGCTTTGAAGAATACAAAACCTTCGCAGCCAGATCCGCCTGGTAGGACTTCAAAGCAAAAGAGAAAAAGACGCAAGGAGGGATCAATTTTCAGGTGAGAGGAAATATTTACAAAGGAATGAAGATACCGGTGGGCGTTAGGAGTTATCTGGCCGGGTAAAATCCTAAACGCATGGCATACTTCAGTTAGGAGGGGGCGAAGGGGAAAAATGATGCCCGCATCTAGGGAAATCGTGTGGAACCCTATCCTATCCACCCAGTGGGGTTCAACAATGTTGGGCCAATTATGTTCATACAGAAGTGTGTACCCATCCGGGAGCCTCCTACGGATTTTGTTCAAAGCAATTTCGGATACATGGGAAGGAATGTCGAGGACATAGAAGGTGGGGAGCGGAAAGTAACCGGCGGCATGGAGCCGCTCCTCCCACGCATCCCGGGTTTCGTTTTCAGGGTCATAGGGACCCGGTTCGTCATCAACCGGCTCGTCCCTCCCCATGAAAACTTCACCGGGCATCTGATTAACAGGTTGCGGGTCGAGAATAGAGGAGTTGGGAACCTGACCGGGCGTGGAGTCAAGAGAAGAAGACCCGGTCGAGGAGGAGGAGTTGGAGTCCTCAAAGGAGCGGTCCTCTGAGGATGAAATCCTATCGCTAAAAGAAGACATGACCAGGAAAGAAAGTAGAGAAGGAAGGGGAAACTTACTTGACTCGGAGGGCTGGATAGCGAACGAGAAGGAACTTGACCGGTGAAAGCTCTGGAAGGCGAAGTGCGAAAAGTGAGAAGAGAAGGGGGTTGGAGCCCTTTATATAAGAAGAGGAGGGCTGAAAGGAGCGACGTGGCCTCTTCAGGTTGCGCCGCGTCAGGCGGCGCAATGATGACCCACTGGCAGGCGAAACGACGGGTCTGCAGCCGACTGATTGCAACGGTAAATGCGCGACACGTGGCAAAAATCAAAGTTTGAAATTCAAATTTCAAAAATTTTAGGCGGGAAGAGCCAAAATTTCAAAATTGGAGTCCTATTTTAGACTTTTTACTTCTCGCTCATGACAAATTGCATGACCTAGAAGTGGAGGGCTTATTGATGGGTGTATTCCACCCACGACCGGTCAAAGGAGAAGACCAATTAGTTGACCGGACAATCTCGAAAGTTTTGGAAGGGAGACTTAAATCGTTAGCAAAACGATATATAATCGGCCAAAAGATGACCGGTATACTTCACGAAAAAGTATACCGGTCAAACTACGTTGTCATCCTATTTGTTCCCAGACTTCGATGAATTCATCCCTCGGAGATTACCCGGTGTAGTTTCTAGGGTTGGAAAGTGTCGGCAGAAGAGAATCTAAGAGGGCTTGGCGTGTAGCGACCCATGTCAGTAGAGGACAACTGGAGATGCCGAAGAATCCATCCAAGGCACTACTCAACAAAGGGAATAATCCCCCTCACAAGGCGACAAGGCAGCTCGAGGACGAAACCAGTCACCTCGCACCACATCAGCAGCGTGCCCCCACGTGGGCGCACGTGGTCTTGTTCCTCATAGCCTAGTATAAATACTCATGTAAACCTCACAAAGAGGGATCGGAATTCATTTTCTCTACCCCCTTTGTAAAAGCACCCGTGCAATCTCCGTTATAATATAAATTAGGCTACAGGTGTTCCACCTAAAGTCCTACCAGTCAATCTACGTGTTTTTACCTTTCTTACTTTGCCAAATCAAGCAAACTATTCTAGACCCGGTCTAATATAGTTTGACCGGTCAAGTAATTTACATCATCATTGGGAACATGTAAGCATAACTCCTCCATTTAACGTATAAAAGCTCATAATTTTTTAAAATTGTTTTATTTAAACATTGGTATAGAAATTGTCTAGATCTAGACGCCATAGCTGTTCCGGGCATTGCTCTTTCGCCACGTGTCAGTCTTGGAAGGTAAACCATGTCAAGCGTCCAGCCTGCAAAGCGTCCAAGGGTTGGACACTTCAGATCCGTTTCTGTGGGATTGGTTTTATTTCCTAAATTCCCCAAACACTGTTTTCGCCTCTCCCGAGATTCTCTTGATAATAATTCTCATCTTAAAGCTTCTTTTATGAATAAAAAATTGAAAATCTAAACTACTTTATTTTAGAACCAATTATTATTCCCTTTAGAACAAATCAACAGATATTGTTCGTATTAACATGTAATTATGTACTAATTTCTTACTATTTTCGTCTAACAACATTTAAAATATGTAGAATAAAATAAGAACAAAATGGACTTATCAGTAGATACCTATGGAGTATAAGTATTTTAAAGAGTATTAATCACGATACGTGAGAAGAGAGGAGCGCTTATCCGACCGACGCCGGCTCTTGACACCACTATTGTCTTCCGCTTATCCCCGCTGATAACTCGGGTTTGGGTTAATATTTTTTATTTTTTTTGGTATTTTTAGTATTTTTATTGTTTAATTTTCATTTGTTTAGCTTAGTTTTATTTTAATTCATATTTTTACAAATCTTTTATTTCCATTCAAAAATAGTAGTTTTTTAATCATTTTTTTACATTTTATTATTTTATTTTATTTTTCCCTAACCCAAAATTATTAGATATCTTATTTTTTGGAGAAAAATGTAGCAAAAAGGCCAAAGTGCAGTTCAAGTTTGAAAATAAGAGATCGAATTTGGGCCGGAGCCCAAACCCAACACAAAAGAAGACCAACCCAGCATTCACTCCTCCAATTTGATTTCACGTCTAGCAAGAAAGGAAAAAGAGATCCAGCAACTTCTTCTTCATTAACGCAGCTGCGAAGTAACTGGCGACCAATTCCTCCAATGTCTCTCCGCCAAGTCCGCCCAAGCGCTCCAACGGGAAAAAATCTTTCGGCTATAAATTGCGCCATCGCTAAACAAGGAAGGGGAGGGAGGGCATCACACCAAACAGAAAAGTGAGCAGCGGCTTTGGCCGCTGCAATTGACGCCACCAGAGAAGAAGGAAGCAGACGGCGGCCGAGCACGGCTCGCTGGCGTTCGACGATGGTCGGCGGTGATAGGTCAGGCGGTCCCTTCAAGCTCCAATTCCTCAAATTTTTCATCTTCTTCCTCTAATTGGTAACCCTATATGTTATTTCTTCAATTTTCTCCTCCAATTTCTTTGTAAAAGTGTTGTTTCAATTCAAATTTACACTTTTTTTGCTTGTTGTCTGAATTTCAAAAATTCAAAAATGGTTGGTGTTCTTTTATGGTTTTTTTTAATGTTTATATTAAATCCCTTATGAATGAAAATTGATTCTTACTAGTTTCTTCAATTTTGCGCAAATTGATGTTAAATTGGTTGAATTATAAATTTGATTTCATAAGTAGGTTGGTATGTCGAATTCGGTTATAATTGAAGCTAATTTAGCTCCATATTTTAGTTAAATGATTCTCGAATTCATACGTGAATCTCTTTTCTTTTGTGACTTGTGTTTTGTAAAATTTTAAGGTAAATGAATTTCTTAGCCACATAAGTTGAACGTTTTCCTTAAGATTTGTTATAAAGTGATTGTTTATGTCTTGGTGTTCTTGTTTGTTATTTTCATAAAAATGGGATTGTTTAAGCGCAATAAACAACTCTTGATTTAATGAAAATATGTAATGTTTTTCTTATGTGAATAGATTACAATTCTTAAGCTTGAGTAGTTCAAGGAGACCTGCAAAATATTTTCACCATTAGACGCTAAAGTTTATTAAAGTGTATCAAATGTTCTTCATGAATACTTTGTGCATGGGAGTTAGAATGAAAGAAAGATTCGCTCGCTTATAAACTTTTTCATCTTTTGGAATCATTGTTTGAGCGCTTGAGGTGAGTGGGGGTTCAAAGTGATCCAAAAGGCCTTTGAATCTTTGACTCCGGGGCCTTATAGAGAGTTGACGATCCTCTATATGTGGTCAAGGATATGAATCAACTTGAACCTTTAAATTCTTTTCTATTTTTAAGTGCGTAAGTTACGTAATATATTGTCTAAGTGGCTACAATACGTGTAATGTTCAATTTGTGTTTGTTCTCTTTTTCATTTTGTTTTGGGTTCTTGGCGGTGTTTCTTGGGTTACCTTAATTGGAGAAGTTGATTATCTTTTGAGCTCGTTTTCCCCCATTTATTCAAAAAAAACCAAAAAAAAGAAAATATAAAAATAAAAAAATATTTACTTTTCATCCAATTCCTCCCCCCCTTGTTTTTCAGTTATAATATAAGTTTTTATACTTTTATATATTTAAGTATGCGTTTTATGTTTATAGGTTATATTATAAGTTCTTTGTTTATATAAGTTATATTTATAAGTTTTTATATTTATTATAAGTTTTATAAGTTCTTATCATTTGTGTAGTAGTTAGTTTGTTTTATTTAGTGACAACGTGTTTGCATGCTTAAATGATTTCAAAAGTACAAACTTTCTCCGTGGGATCGACCCTTACTTGCCCTAGCTATAGTTTTTATTTGATGATATTTTGGGGGTTAGTTAAGGTTATTTATAAATTTTTAATTTATTTTGGACCTCACGACAAGTCCCCAACACCTGCCGTCTCAATTATCGGAAACAGACCATTGCCGCCGCCTAGCCACCGATGTTTGATGCTAAGTGTACCATTTTCTCTATTTTTTTGATTCGTTTAGTTCGTCCAATTATCGAGGTAAGTTCGCGGATTTGTTCTAGCATAGGATTCATAGATAGCATCGATTCAGGTATATAGCCAATCATAGATTTGTTTATGTGAATTGTGTGATTTTGAATTATGGTGTTAGAGAAAACTGATAGAATTTAGGATGGGTATGGGCAACGAGATTGGGCTATAAGACACTTGGGCTGAAACACATTAAAAGATTGAATCCAATCGATTAATTAGTTCAACTCAAGAGTTTATATACTGATTATTTTGATCTTGAACTTCTGATATGGGATGACACTCTAACACTCCCCCTCAAGTGGACAACCGGGCCATTTTGAATCTAACCGGTTGACCACTTGCAAATAAACTCCCATTCCCTTGAATATATATATTTTTTGAGCGCCAACACCTAAACGACCACGAGCCGCTGGGTATGAACCTTCAGACGAGCAATCGTGTTAAACGAGCCACAAGCCGTTGGGTACATACTCCATACGGTACACTAGGCTAAAGACAAACGGGCCACTAAGAATGAACGTCTAGACGGACACCTTGACAAACGATGTGTGCCAAAACCTGCTCTGATACCATGATAGAATTTAGGATGGGTATGGGCAACTGGATTGGGCTATAAGACACTTGGGTTGAACCACATTAAAAGATTGAATGCAATCGATTAATTAGTTCAACTCAAGAGCTTATATACTGATTATTTTGATCTTGAACTTCCGATGTGGGATGACACTCTAACAAAAACTCTAGTCATTGATTTGTTAAAGTATGAATTAGTTATTAGTTAATGGTTAGGCATGTTATAGTTCGCCTACAAATGTACGTTGTATGATGTTAATGTATGCGGGGTGTAGCAATTTGGACACGAAAACCCCAACCGGTAAGTTGCACCAGAAATTCTGCCGATAGATGGTAGCCAAGTACTGTTTAATGGTACCCTGCCACCGCAATAGAAGAATAACTGATACCGATACCTATGCCCGGATGGTAGGGAAGTATCAAGCGGGGTACCATAATAAGTATCATATAAGACCCCATCCGACCCTTTTTCGTGTTTTTTATTCTGAATTAAGTCATAGATTGAATCTGGGGCCTTGAGTGTTGCATGATCGTAAAAGGAAGGTATTTACACCTTACACTATGCCGCTAGTTGTATTAAATGATGAATTATCTAATTATTGTTATCTCTTTTGTTATGTTCTGAATATTGTATGCCTTGAATGAATGTGATGAACTCAGTTAACACATCATATTTTCAAATCAA